GGGGAACTGGGGCTTGGCGGAGCCTCTGGGCAGCTTCGACGTGGGGCACAGGTGATGACTGACGGCCGCATCTGAAAGATCAAGTCAGAGAAAGAAGTGAGGAAGAGAAGAGAGGAGAGAAGGGAAAGGAGGGGAAAAGAGAAAAGAGAGGAGAGGGGAGGAGAGGAGAGGAGAGAAGGAAGTGGAGTGGAGGAGAGGAGAGGAGAGGAGAGGAGAGAAGGGAGTGGAGGAGAGGAGAGGAGGGAATGGAGGAGAGGAGAGGAGAAGAGAGGAGGGAAGGGAAGGGAGGAGGGGAGAGGAGAGGAGAGGAGAGGAGAGGAGGGACTGGAGTGGAGGAGAGGAGAGGAGGGAAGGGAATGAAGGAGAGGAGAGGAGAGAAGCAGAGAATGGCGCAAAAAAGGGCACTGAGCCAACTTACCTGCTGCAGCTGGGTGACTGTTAGGGCGGGCTCCACGAGGGGCTCCTTTGGGGGGCGTTTCTGTGTGCAGGAGGCGGGAAGCCCCCTGGAATCCTTGCAAATGGCAGCGCTGGAGGTGGAGACGCAGGACACGGCAATGGGGGCAATGGGGACGGATGCAGGAGTTGCCACCCGGTCCTGAGAGCTGGAGAGGGAGAGAGAGACACACACAAAAGCTGTCACCCTAGGCTTCACAGTGCTGGATTCATTGCATCTTTCCAAATGCCCCCACATGGAATCCAAAACATGGTGATTGCAAGAGAGAAAACAAGGAAATTGATCCAGCTTTTTCCAACTGGGAGAGCTCCGGAAATGCCGGAGGGGTACAAGTGGAGTGACTTTTAGAACCTATAATGCAAGACAGTATCAGATGGGTTGGGATTCCCTTCTGTGACTTTAGGGTCAGTCTCATCACTTGAGCAGTGGTAAGAAAAGTGCTTCTGAGCCATGTACAGAGTGTCATGTCCCTGCCAAGGTCTAACACCAAGGAGGCCTCCTCATGCAGCATAACGTTGCTTATATCAGAGAAGTTTTTCCCGCTGTTCCTCTTGGGCATCACACTTTCTTATGAAGATAAAAGGTTTGGTCGACTCTAGTGGTTAAAGAACCAGCCTAGAAACCAGAAGAAGATTTATTTATTTTTTATTTATTTATTTTATTTATTTTATTTGGTTTGTCAATTGCTTACAAGATAACAGGTATAAGTAAAAACATAGTTATGAATACATGGATACATATAAGAAAAATAAAAGAAACAATAGGACAGGGACGGTAGGCACGTTGGTGCGCTTATGCACGCCCCCTACAGACCTCTTAGGAAAGGGGTGAGGTCAATAGTAGACAGTCTAAGGTTAAAGTTTTTGGGGTTTGGGGAAGAAACCACAGAGTCAGGTAGAGTATTGCAGACATTGACCACTCTATTGCTGAAGTCGTATTTCCTGCAATCAAGTTTGGTGCGGTTAACCTTGAGTTTGTATCTATTGTTTGCTCTTGTGTTGTTATGGTTGAAGCTGAAGTATTCATTGACAGGTAGGACATTGCAACGTATGATTTTATATACTATACTTAGATCATTAGTTCTAGTCCTGCCTGCCCTAGACATGAAAGCCAATTGGGTGACTTTGGGCCAGTTCCTTTCTCTTAGCCCAGCCCAGCCCACCCCACAGGTTTGTTGTTGCAGGGGGGAAAGGAAGAGGAAAGAGCATTATGTCAACTTGTTAAAACATTCCTATGCCTGTTTCCAAGTTGCCATAAGAAAGGTGTGGGGGGACCTTGAAAGAGCATACGGCAAATGAACTCAGAAGCACATTCCAAGCTTATCTCACAAAGATTGTAACTGAGGCAACCAGGTATTCTGGGCGGGAAATTCCTCTATTGGAGAATGTGATTGATGACACCCAGCCCATGAATGTGTTTAGTTGGACAATCTGAATTATGATACACCCAGAGCGGTGGGGGGAAACAGGGTCATAGGTGATTGTAAATTACATATCTCAGAGTCAGCTTCATACAGGTCATGCCAGCATGTCGCTCCTAATAAATCCTTTGAAGTTTTTTGAAGTTTGGCTCGAGGCTCATGATTTAATTAGGGCGATCGCTGGAATCCTGACACATTAGTTATGCTTACTGCAATGTAGGTGGCAGACCCCTCGGTTTATTATTTCAGACACAAGATCGGTTAGGTTGCATTTGTGCACCAGAAAAGGAAATCAGGGTAAGAACTCAGGAGACCTCAGATTATATGGCTCAGTGCTTCGATCCGGCAGCCCATTAATATGGATGGTCCCTTTTAAAACAGAGATGTGTGTGGGGGGGTGATATTCAAAACAGAAAGGCCTCTTTCCACTCTTTGCACCCCCACCTCCTTCCAGTAACGGCCTGAAATTTGTTCCAGGGATGATTTATATATATATATATTGGAATACTAGAACAGGAAGAGAGGCCTGTGGTATACCGGATGCAGAAATTTGTTCCAGGGATGATTTATATATATATATATTTTGGAATGTGTCTTCTAGAACAGGAAGAGAGGCCTGTGGTATACCGGATGCAGACCTCTCTGCACTGCGTGTGTGACTATCACACCATCTTTTGCACTTGGCGTGAGGGGGGCCTCAGTCCAAAAGGTAACAGGGATTGGGAGCTAGGACCAAAAAAATGGACCAGACCAGGAGAAATATTAAATTTGATTTAATTAAAATTAAACCCATTGATCCCATTGAGAATGATCACTCCGAATATATTTAATCATGTTCTTTTTGTGTCACCTTAAGAAAGTGATCCATTTATGGCAACTTTTAAATAGGCTGTGGACTTTCAAGGTGTGACTCTTCTACCTTAAGATAAGATAAGCCCCTTAGTCTATGAATCAGTTCCCAGAATAGTTTTTCAGCTTAAAAACATGGCTCATATCCAACCTGTCGGTCTCTTTCAGGTCCCTCCCCCCCCTCCCCCGCATTAATATAAGACAGACAGAAGTGAAATGAATCAATGATAGCCTACATATTTTAATCTCTTATATTATTCATGAGAAATTGGTTAAGAGATTAATGATTCACCCAATGCAATCGGATTTAAAATTCACAGCGTGCCATTTAAACTGGAATGTTATTAAACCGGAAACATTTGCCTCCAGACAACGGCTATATATCATTTGCACCCTAGCATTTTAAACTTTTGAAAAAGAAAACAATGTCAGGTTTGCTAAAGTGGGTCCTTTTGCAAAGAAAACATTCAACCCAGCTCTGCGTTTTCTGAAACAGAGAAAGACGTGTGGGTTTTGTCCAGAGGTGGTATTCAGCAGGTTATGACCAGTTCCGGAAATTTTGAGTAGTTTGGAGAACCAACAAATACCACCTCTGACTGGCCCCGCCCCCATCTATTCTCTGCCTCCCGAGTCCCAGCTGATTGGCTGGATCTTCTTTTGTTGCCCTGCACAGGAGAACGGAGCTGGAAAGCAGGTTAGTGGGGTGGGGAAGGAATGTGGATTTTGCAGCATTCTTCACCTGCCACACCCACCATGCCACGCCCACCATGCCATACCCACCAAGCCTTGCCCACCAAGCCATGCCCACCAAGCCATGCCCACCAAGCCACGCCCACCAAGCCATGCCCACCAAGCCATGCCCACCAAGCCATGCCCACAGAACTGGTAGTGATTTTTTTTAAATCCAACCACTGATTTTATCCCTGTGTTTAGAGACGTGTTCACAGGGGAATTTATTCACAGGCACTTAAATATCTTACCAGCTATTAGAATAAACGAGAGGGTGAAGGAATTTCTAGCTAACAGCTGGTAGTCAACCATTTGGACTTTTTCTCAAGGCTTTTCCAGAAATTCTGCTTTTCAGATAAAAAAATACAAAGCCAGGTCTGGAGTCACTGCCTAAAGAAAGAAACCTCTTAAAACAGGAGTTTCTCTTTGAGGAAGGAGAAGAAAATGAAATCTTATTAGCGGAACTGACTATCTTGAGGAGCCAGGAGCATCTTGAAATGATAAGGCCATGATACTTTGGCAGGTTGGGTTGTACCTGGCATAAAAGGGAGCACAGATAGTCCTTGACTTACAACAGTTCATTTAGTGACCAGTTGACGTTACAATGGCACTGGGAAAAAAATGACTTATCACTATTTCTCACACATATGACTGTTGCAGTTTCTACATGTTCACGTGATTTATTTTGGGATGCTTGACAACTGAGTCACATTTATGACAGTTGCAGTGTCTTGGGGGGTCACGTGAACCCCTTTTGCGACCTCCTGACAAGCAGAGTCCATGGGGAAGCCAGATTCCCTTAACAACTGCATTATTTATTTAACAACTGCAGTGATTCACTTAACAAATGTGACCAAAAAAATCCTAAAATGGGGTAAATAACTCACTTAACCAATTTCTCACTTAGCAACAGAAATTTTGGGCTCAATCGTGGTTGCACGTTGGGGATGTCATTCATGTAATAAGGGGGTGTCAAATTCACATCGGTGTCACATGACATATCGGGACTTTTCCTCCCTTCGCTAAACCAGGCATGGGCGTGGCCAGGGTGTGACGCATCCGGCTCGTGGGCCGCAAGTTTGACATCCCAGATATAAGAGAACAAGAGAAACTTCCGCAGAGTTAAAGCTGCTATAGGTGGAAAACGTTTCTACGTGGTAGGAAATAAATCCAGAGTAAAACTGTGTCTCCAATAGGAGACTTCAACTCTAGGGTGTAAAGCTGAGCTGCAAGCCAGGACATTTTTAGCCTAGAATCTTGTGAATTCCAAAAGGCAACTCTCACAATAGGTATGCTTCTTTATGAGTTTTTCCTCCTAAGGTATTTCTTTGCTTCCCCCCCCCCCCCCACTTCTTCTTATAATAAAAGGCATGATATGTTTCATCAAGTCCCTCCTGTTTGTCCTCTCTATGAAATACAGAGGTGATACCATTGAGCTACCTTGCAGGGTTGTTATAGAAAGTAGAACAGAACCTGGAAGCCTCCAAAAAGGCTTGTCATTCTTCAATGGGAAGATTCAAATCTCTGGGGTGGATTTTCTCCTTAGGGTTACACTGTCCCCTACTGGGCACTCAGTATACTCACGCTGCAATAGGCCTGCTCGACGATCGCCTGACTTTGGACCCCTTCTGGCCTTCAGGGATTCTTCTCACATCCAGGCTGGCCTTGCGCTTGTTTGGACAGGTGGGCAGCCGGTAGGCTGGGAGGCGGTGGAACCTCTGCTCGTTCTCAAAGGAAGAGTGGCCTGGCAAGAGGAGATAGGATGGCAGCAGCTGAGAACAGTGGAGAAACCTTGATGTGTGTGTGTGTGTGTGTGTGTACCGTTGTATTTCACTCCTAGAAAAGGCTGCAAGCAAGTGCTAAATTGGAATTTCTGGGTGGTGTTTGTAAACATTCAGTTGATGTTACGAATGTCATCTATTGTTTGAAAAGTCCATGTTTGGCATTGATATATTAAGGCCTTAAAAATAACCCATTCCAGAGGTGGTATTCAGCTGGTTCTGACTGGTTCTGGAGAACCGGTAGTGGAAATTTTGTGTAATTCAGAGAACCGACAAATACCCCCTCTGACTGGCCCCGCCCCCATCTATTCTCTGCCTCCTGAGACCCAGCTGATTGGCTGGATCTTCTTTTGTTGCCCTGACAGGAGAACAGAGCTGGAAAGCAGGTTAGTGGGGTGGGGAGGGAATGGGGATTTTGCAGTATTCTTCCGCTGCCACGCCCACCAAGCCATGCCACGCATACCACGCCCACCAAGCCGCGCCCACAGAAGCAGTAGTAAAAAAAATTGAATACCACCACTGACCCACTCGGTTAAAGATTTGTGAGTTCTTCCAGATAGGAGAGTCTTATTCAGTTATTATTTCTATTTTGTATTTTACAATATTAACAAATAAAATTATACATACATATACACACACATGTATGTATGTATGTATGTATGTATGTATGTATGTATGTATGTATGTATATCTCACAGTAAAAAAAGCTTTTCTGCAACTCCACCTTTTTGTTCTTCATTATTATTTTTCTGGTAAGAAAAACTAATAGGAAAACAATGGGAAAACAGGTTCATGTGGACTTTGAAAAATTTGAAGCAAGCAGCTGCATCGAAAAAACTTCCCCCATGAAACATTTGATTTCCCAAGCACCGGAGAATGAAATGGTGTCAAAAATAACAAATGGATATCATTTCAATTCAGTTCCTGACAAAGAAAAGCAGGTACTTCTGGCATTTATTGCTTTTGACATTAAGTGTCGAACTGGGTGTGTGGGAAACAAAAAAATGCCAGGTCCTGCCATGCAAGGAGCTATTACTAATGTACCACTTGTCTCTCT